GGGGGGGGGGGGGGGGGGGGGCGCTGTCGAAATCCAGGTAAGAGATGCTAGTGGCCTGGGCCAAGCGTGTGCTAGAGGAGGCAGGAAGAAGGCTCCGAATCAGGAGAGAGAGCTTTTTCCTCAAGTCTTTTCCCCCTAAATTCAGTAAGTGCAGCGATCTCAGGGCTGTGGTTGGGTGGATGTTATTCGTGCACGTGTGTGCACCCTTGTACCTTTGTGAGTCAAGGCCAGACCACCCAAGCCAGATCACAGGGGCCTGGGGGGGCAGGTAGAGGCGGGCTCCTGAACCTGCATTCTGGGTCACATGTCACTGCTGAACAGTCAAGGGCAAAGGGAGGTATAGGAGGACCCAATGGCTGGCAGTGTAGACCCCTTGGTGGATGTGGTGGGAGCCAAGGGTATTTCTTCAGGGGGCTTACTGAGCTAGAATTCCCCCAGGGCAAGACCGCAGCCCCCCACTACCCCTACCCTTACCCCATCTACCTGGATTCCCCCACCTCATTTTGCTTCCTTGTCTCTGGACGTCTCACCCCAGACTTTCCTGCTCCTTGCAGCAACCCCCGAAATGGGTGAGGGACTGACCAGACCTCTCTCAGCCTCTCCTTACCTGGAAGGTGGGGTAGCTGGTAGGCCTGCGCTGGTTGGCTCTGCTTCAGGCCATTGGCTTTTCACATTCGTTCCTTCACTAATGGACACAGGGCTGGCAGATGCAGGCCCCTTGAAGGCTCAGGAAGCCTCCAGAAAGGAAGAGTCACAGGAGTGAATTGGACAGGTAAACCTGGCCATGGGGCCATGGGGCCAGGAAGGCTGAGAGGGGTGCGATGATGTGGGGGAATCCGCAGCCAGTCTTGAGGAAAAACCCACGCTTGGAGTTGCGTGAGCACCGTGAACTCTACCCCTCTATGCCCTGTCCCTGTAGGTGGCTGTCACAGCTCATTTGGTGTGGTGTGAGCCAGGGGCCCACCTCACCCTGGGACAGCTGCCCACTCCAACCCCTTAACGTCCCCCTTTTGCCCTTCCCTAGCACGCACAACCTTCCGGCCCACCATATAACTTAGCTTCTCCTTTGTATTGGTGCGTCCCTGTCTGCCCACGAGCAGGTAGCTTGCAGAGGTACAGGTGTCTGTTGCGTTCATTGCACAGGGAGGCGCTGGATGAAGGAAGAGGATCCAGGCCAAGGACAGAACCCATTGGGTGGGGCAGGGACTGGGGGCCAGGACAGAATGGCCAGAACTGCCTCTGTGAGGTCTGAGGAAGGGGGAGTGATCTGATGGGGGGCGGGTATGTGAGGATCAAGAAGCCTGGCTGGGAAGGTGGGGAGAGAGCAGGAACATGAGACAAAGCAGGGTTATTTTAGGATGGGGCCCTCAGCCAGGGAAGGGCGGCCAGCCGAGTGGGGAGGCGTTCTAGAAGGCCTTCCAGCTCAGGCCAGCCCTTGAGGAGTCCCCAGTCTTGGATCTGGACCCTATACCCCCCAGCCCACATGGGACCTGGACGGGCAGTAAGGTCCCTGGGAGCACTGGGAGGGGCCAGTCACCGTGGAGTGGATGGTTGGGAAATGGGTGGCCCCAGGGGCCAGGAAGTTGTTTCTCTGCTTGCTGGTGTGGAGGACTGATGAGGGGGCGTGGAGGCTGAGGATGGAGAGGCTTGGAAGGTGGCGTGGAAGGTCCGGCCTTCCTATGTGGTCCGTGGAGGACACTGCCGGATGGAAGGTGGCCTGTTCTTGGGGTGGGCAGTGGCCAGATTGGTGTGTCTAAGGTTACCCGGCACTGTGTTTCGACAAGGTGCCGTGGCAGCCAGGTGGCACTGCTGGCCCCACTGCCCCTCGCTACCCTCACTTCTCCAGAATCTCCCTGGAGGGCTGGTATAGATGGGTCATGGCCACCACTGGTGGATGGGCGCTGATCCTGAGAAAGAGAACGGGGGTCCAGGGACACCTGGAAGAGGGCCCCTAGCAGGCAAGGCTGGGAGGGAATTAGGTGCTGGGCCCTGGCCACATGGCCTAGGGTACTGGCTGGGAGACCCTACCCAGGGCATAGTCTGGAGTGACATCCGGGAGCCCTTTCTCCTGGGCACAAAACCTCCCTGGGACCAAGGCTGTTCTGGGGTCTCAGCGTTGGCAGGATGGGGCCAGGACTTGGTGTTTAACAGAGCAGAGTTTGGTTTGCAAGTGGGGGGTTATGGACTGCTGAGAGCGTTGCCTAGAAGAAGGGCCTGCAGGCTGGGTATTGATGGATATGTAGGAGTTGGCTGGTCTGAGCAACTGAAGTCATCACCTGTCAGGGTGGGGGAGATGTGGGTGATTGGGGAACCAGTAGGGGGCAGCGAGTGAGGCCGGGAGTGGCGTCATGAGGGACTCACTGAGGGCCTCTCTCAGGGATCCTTGGGACTGTGGGGCTCGCCCCAGGCCTGAGCCAGCCTCCCCTCTGCCTGCCTGCAGGTTGGCACTCTATGTATACGAGTACCTGTTGCACGTTGGTGCCCAGAAGTCAGCCCAGACCTTTCTGTCCGAGGTAAGCCAGCCTGGCCAGGCAGAGATCCCCCCCTAAGCTGGGCCCTTCCTTACCACCCATACCCTGGGGTCCTCTCCATCTCCTTTCCAGATGGGTTGGGGTGCCCCTCTGCTGGCCCTGGGAACTGAGGGCTGGGGTGGATCAGCGCCCGTGGACTGGTGTCCAGGCATCTGCCTGGCCATCTGACGATCTGTGCCCACTTATCTGCCCCTCACGTAGTTGCCCCCCTCCCAGCTCCCTTGCTCTGGGCTGCTGGTCCCCTGCCCCAGCATTCCCCAGGCACCAGGCTGGGCTAGGGCTGCCCCAGGTTGGAAGGGGTCAGGCAGGGCCCTCTCACTGTCTTGCCTTCCCCCTGCAGATCCGATGGGAGAAGAACATTACGCTGGGGGAGCCCCCAGGGTTCCTGCATTCCTGGTGGTGGTGCGTGTGAGGCTGGCCAGGGTGGGCCACGGAGGGGGGCTGGGTGGGGACGTGTGGG